GGCGGCGGGCACAAACTTGGAACAAATAGTGAGGGTTTAGAATGCTCACTTCCTAGTTAGTGGGACGGATGTGATGAGAGCAGGGTTCCAGGATGGCATCCAATGGCAGCGGACACCCATGGGGAGATGCTGGGAGCTCCAGCTGCGTCGGGGGTGGGGGCACCCAGGGGAGGCACTGGGGGCTCCACCTGGGCTACTGCACAGCACAACCATTAATACGGCCACACCGTAGGGCACTCTGCAAGTGCACAACGTAATGTTCAAAGCCCTTCTGAAAGTTTAGATTTGGAAACTACAGACAAAATAAGTAAACCAAAGCTACTATTTCAGAGTATGCCCTCCCAGATTTTTCTCTGTGTAGACCCTTTTTCTTCCCACACACTTGGCAACCACATGTCTAACCTGTATCTGGTTTTCGTCACTTAACACTATTCCGTGTGCATTTCCCTCCATTCTTAAAAAAGACCCACGGCTGCGTGTTTTCCCCGAACACAGAGATCCATCCTGACGCGGTAACTGACACTAACGAGCCCTGTTTCTCGCTATTGTAAACAACCAGGATGCACGACTTTGTATGCAAATCTGTCCTGCATCTCTTGTTTTACCTTAAAATAGAGACTTAGCAGTGGAGCCTCACACTCTGCGGCTTTCGAGCCGCGGGGCTGAACTGCGCCGGACACATTTTCGCAGCCGCGGGGCCCGGGAGACCCGCCCTCGGCCGGCTTGTTTTGCTGGGGAGGCGCGGGGTGTCGGCTTGTCTGGTCGCCCCGTGCTCCCTGGCATTCCCTCCGCGACTTGCGCACCCTTTACGTTTGTCCTCGGCGTCCTCCGAGGTCTGGTGCTCGCCCCGGGAAGGGCGCAGGCTCGGGGGCTTCTGCTCGCGAATCTCATCTCCGCGGCAAACGGCTCTCGGGCTCGTTAGGCCCTGCGCGGAGAAAACACCAACATGGCCTGGCGGGCGCGGCAACTGAGCGCCGGAGGCCGTCCCTCAGAGAAAGAAACGAGGCCCGCAAACAGCTCGAAAGACGCCCGGGGCTTCTCGGCGCTGGGCTACAGGCGGCGCTGAGCCCGCGTCCGAAAGCGACGGCGTCCGCGCCCCGCCCCGCCGCCTGACCCGGTTTCCGCTTCCGCGCACGCGCGCCGCCGGGCCTTATTTCACAGCACCGCACGCCTCCGCGCGAAGCGCCAAATAAGTCACCGGGCACGCTCCACCAGTGCGTGCGCGCCTCCGCCGCCTGCGTCACTAGGAAGGGGGCTGCGGGGCCGCCGCCGCCGCCGCCACCCTTAAAGCAGGCCGACTCGTAGTGCTTGTTGAGATAAGACTTGAGCGCGAAGCTCTTCTTGCAGCGCTTGCACTGGAAGTGCTTGAAGGCCGAGTGCGTCTGCATGTGCGCGCGCAGGTTGGAGCGGTCGGCGAAGGCCTTGCCGCAGTGCGCGCAGCCAAAGGGCTTCTCGCCGGTGTGCGAGCGCATGTGGCCTTGCAGCAGCCAGGGCCGCGAGAAGGCCTTGCCGCACACGCCGCACTTGTGGCGCAGGTCGTGCGTGAGCAGGTGCATGGCCATGGCCGGCATGGACACGTACACCTTGCCGCACGTCGGGCAGCGCCGCGCCAGCTGGCTGTCCAGGCTGCGATGCGTTTGCTTGTGGCGGCTCAGGTTCGACGACGTGGCGTACGTCTTGCCGCACTCG